TCTCAAATAAATAAATAAAATCTTTAAAAAAAAAATCTTCTAAAAATTGAAAGAAAAAGTCCACAATCCTATAGAAAAAAATGGACCAGTGTATGAACAGGTAGTTCACTGAAAGAAATACAAATTTTTCTAAGCAATGAAAAGACATTCAACTTTTCTCGTAATAAGAGAAATGCCAATTAAAACTTTTGCAAGGTACCATTTTCCACCCTCAAGTTGTCAAAAATCCAAAAGTTTGACAATATTACTTTGCTGGAAAGACTATGGGAAAACAGGCATTCTCATACACTTTTGGTGGAAACACAATGGTACAACCACTATGGAAGGGAATTTGCCAAAATATAGCAAAATTGTGTGTAGATTTACTTTTTGACTTAACAATCCTATTTCTAAGAATCTATCCTAAGCTAGGGGAAAAAATGCAAAGAGAGGATCATATCAGGCTATTCATTAGAATCAACTTAACACAGCAAAAGCAAAACAACTAAACCTGAATGTCTATCAATATGAGGCTGGTAAAATAAAAAATGGCTCATTACCCAATAGAGAACCAGGCAGCTATAAAAAGGAATGGGACATATTTTTATATACAATTATGAAGCAATCCCTAGGTTACATTAAATGAGAAAAGTAGGTGAGAAGAGTGAATAATATGCTATTGCTTATATAAGAAGGAGAGAAAATACATACATGGAGACATATACACACACACATAAACAATTTTAATATTTTCCCTTATTACATAAATTGGAAAGATAATTCTTTAAAATATGTAAATAGACGCCTAAGGGAATAGGAGAGGATATAGGAATATAAACAGACTTTGTTTTCTACATGAATTTTAGATACATGAAACTATTCCCATGACTTAAAATTAAATTTCAAAAATATGTCTAAGTATAAAGAAAAATGGAACAAATACATTTAATTGTACATAAAGTTAGTGATATAACCAGACAGAGAGAAACTATAATAAGTAACTTTAGAACATAATAATTTTGGTGTACATTCCTAGGGATTATAACATAAAGAAAAAAAAAAAAACCCTGCAAGGATTTTGAAACTGTTTTCAATAACCATACTGGGGATGCTAGTGTCAAAGACTACTGAGTCTTCGAGAGAAAGCAAATGTGTGGATGTATTGCTGTCATTGAGAACTGGGATTCTTGGCCTGGGAAGTTGGAGGAAGAGATCTGAGTTTGATAGGATAAGGCAAGATCATTTGGCACTGGTTTTGATTAGGGTATTAGTATAGTCCAAAATGTATGTTATCCTAGAAAGAAAAAAAAATAACATTTTCTAGCTTTGTGCACAGAAAAGCCCAGGAACTATGATAGACTAAGTAGCATCGAGCATCCCCATAGCCAAGATTATGGTCTCTAAATACCATTATGTGTGGGAAGGAAACACTGTTTTTTTTTGGAGAAAGATGATTCTAAGTTCAGGGCAGAAATGATGACCACAGAATATGTTGTTATACCAGAAAGCAAGAAAGCCACTAAAGACAACAGAGGCTTATCTGAAGGACTCGAGTCAGACACCAACACAAAGGGGACCTCACTGCCCAAATATAGAACAATTTGAGCATCGACAACTGTAGTGGATCGAAACTTACTGAAAATTTTAAGTCCATAAATTAATAATAATAGTTTAAAAAAAATCATCCAACAGGTCACCTCTGGAAGATACTGAATCTCAACTCATTAATTTGAAAGTCTAAAAAATAGAGGAAAAGAATTAAACATTTGTTTTCCTTTTCTTATATAAACTATACTTCTGTGTAACTGAGTAGTTAATGAGGAGTTATTTCTCTCTATAGATTTACTTCAGCTAATAATGGAGGAATAAATATAGACTATCACTGCCTTGCAATCCACAGTGGAGTATGGACTTAAGCAGAAATTATCAGTGGGTGCTGATACTGTAAAAACAGATAATCAGACATCTCTCATCTTCATTGAAGTACATAAACCATCTATGGAGGAATTATGTAAAAAAAAATCTTAATTTGATCAAGCATCCAGGTCTTTCAGATAATTAAAAGGAATTAAGAAGGAGAAACACCTGTTGCGTGACAACATGTGGATATAATCAGTGAAATCCAGACTATGAGAAATGCTCTGTGGAATGTTCAGATTTCTTTAAAAAAATGAAAAAAAAAAACAAAACCAGAAATGAAAGAGGAATATAGATGACGTAAGGGGCATATCTGCCATTTGGAATGTATGGACCTTATTTGGATTTGATTCGAACAAAACAAAATACACAAATTTAAAAAATGGAAACAGATTTTAACAGTGAACAGATACTCAATGGTATTAAATTCTCTCTCTCTCTTTCATTGTGTGTGTGTGTGTGTATGTAATAATGACGTGTGAATATGTTTTTTAGAAAAGTATGTCATTTACACACTTGCACACAAATGAAATACTATAATATTTTTTATTTTTCAATTTTTTAAATTTAAATTTTAGTTAACATACAGTGCAGTATTGGTTTCAGGAGTAGAATTCAGTGATTTATCACTTACAGACAACACCCAGTGCTCATGCCAACAAGTGCACGTTTTAATAACCATCACCCATCTAGCCCATCCCCCACCCATCTCCCTCCATCCACCCTTAGTTTCTTCTCTATCTTTGTCTAAATAGATGTTTTGTTTCCCTTCCTCCTTTTTTTCTTTTCCCCCTTCCCATATGTTTATCTGTTTTCTTTCTTTCTTTCTTTCTTTTTTTTTATTCATGAGAGACAGAGTGAGAGAGAAAGGCAGAGGGAGAAGCAGGCTCCCAAGGAGCAGGGAGCCCGATGCGGGACTCGATCCCAGGACCCTGAGATCATGACCCGAGCCGAAGGCAGACACTTAACCATCTGAGCCACGCAGGCGCCCTGTTTTCTTTCTTAAATTCCACATCTGAGTGGTATGGCTGTAGGGTATTTGTCTTTCTCTGACTGCCTTATTTCACTTAGAAATGCTATAATATTTTATTATTGCTTCAAAATTACCAGGTGGGATCGGGAGAGAGTGAGTGGAGTTGATGATAGTTGAAGCTGAGCGTGCATAGATGATTTTTTTTTACTTTTGTTTTTGTTTAAAACATCCAATTATTAAACTGTTTTGAACAAGGGAAACCTAAAAGATGTTAGAGATTGTTGATATTCTTGCAGATTTTGCTGCTCTCAAGTGTAGTAGCTAGCAAAATCCACAAATTCTGTGAGTTGAAAGAGAAGTTACAGGGGATCAAAGATGAAGATGATCAAGTAGATCAAGAAAACCATAAAAATAAAAAAAATAATGTGAAGTATGATTTACTTACATTTTTCTGGCTGATAAATCAAGTTACAGTGCATCATATGAAGAGTTATCAAAGCCATTAGTGTAGACATAAAAGGAATGAGTAAAACCAGGGCCCAGGCCCCTGAGTGCTGGATGTAAGATATTCCCAGAAAGACAACAGTTGCTTTCAGGTTCATGATCCAACAAAACCTGTGATACATAGACAGACAGAAATAAAAAGACCATTCAGTTACTTCAGAGAACAATTGCTAATTTTAATGCTTTGATATAAATGTAAGCTATGAGGTGGTGGCCTGTTAGCTGAACTAGAATTTGTGAATATTGTTTATTAGACTTCTTTTTTTTAAAAAAGTGTTGTGGAACTAGAGAAGCCATAGACAATACTTAATCAAATATGTCTAATGAATAGTACCTATAGCAGTAGTCTGGTTTGTAATTTTGGGGACATAATCTATGTCTCTCAACCTTTCATTGGGTCTAAATCCCTGCTATTAGAATCCCATTGCAGAGGAGGGGTCTTAACACTAATTTTACAAATTTATTAAGGTTAAATTAGATACAATAAAATACCTGCTTGAATATATAGTTTTATGAGTTTTGATAAATTTTTCAGTTGGGCAAACACTAATAGATCCAAATTTTAGAACACTTAACATTATCACTAAGGTTTAAAGGGCCTACCTGGTTAGATCAGGCCCACCCAGGATTCCAGGATAATCTCTTCTTTGATTAATTTAAAATCAAATTATTAGAGACATTTTTAAAAAAAGATTTTATTTATTTTAGAGAAAGAGAGAGAGAGAGGTAGAGAGAGTGTGCGAGTGGCAGAAGGAGCAGAGGGAGAGGGAGAGAAAGCCTCAAGCAGACTCCCCGCTGAGCAAGGAGGCTGAGGGGTTCCATCCTATGACCCTGACATCATGACCTGAGCCAAAAGCAAGACTCGGATGCTTAACTGACTGAGCCACCCAGGCACCCCTAGAGACTTTAATTATATTGCAAAATCCCTTCACTTTTGCCATATAACAACATAATCAGGGGTTGATATCCTGTTGTCTCTGCCATATTCTATTGAGAGGAGTCAAGTCACAGGTTCTGCCCAGACTCTAGGGGATGGGTCTGTCAAGAGTGTGACCACTCAGGCTCATCCTATGGCATTTCCTCTACATGTTCTAATTATTTCATTCTTCCTTCTTTCCTTCCTCCCTACCTTCCTCTGTCTCTCCTTCCCTCCTACCCTCTTTTCTTCCTTCATTCCTCACTCCCTCCTACCCTCCTTTCTTCCCTCCCCTCTTCTCTCCTCCCCTTGTCTTCACTTCCCTCCCCTCCCCTTCCCTCCCTTTCCATCCCTTTGCTTTCCCTTCCCTCCTCTTCTCTCCCTTCCCTTCCCCTCCCCTCCCTTCCCTTCCTTTTTCTTTCTTCCTCTAAGTGAAAGAAGAAACAGAGTCAACCGGTAAGAATGGCTATGGGGAGAGGATATTGAAGGTTTGAGGAGAAAAGAAAAGGTTAGAACTCATCTAAAGGAGGAGGAGGAGAAAGATTGGATACTGGTTACTTGCTAGGTAATGCTAAGGGGCCACTTGAGGTTGGTCATGTGCATGGTGCCTGGCTGGCTCAGTTGCCAGAGCCTGTGGTTCTTAATCTCAGGGTGGTGAGTTCAAGCCCATGTTGGGTGTGGAGTGTACTGAAAAAAAAAAAAAAAAAGGTACTCTTTTTATCTGGCTTCTTTCATTTAGCATAATTAGTTTGAAATTGATCCATGTTGGGCGCCTGGGTGGCTCAGTTGGTTAAGCGACTGCCTTCGGCTCAGGTCATGATCCTGGAGTCCCGGGATCGAGTCCCGCATCGGGCTCCCTGCTCGGCAGGGAGTCTGCTTCTCCCTCTGACCCTCCCCCCTCTCATGTGCTTGCTCTCTCTCATTCTCTCTCTCTCAAATAAATAAATAAAATCTTTAAAAAAAAAAAAGAAATTGATCCATGTTTTTTTTCTTCAGTTCATTCCTTTATATTGCCAAATAGTATTCCATTACATAAATATACTACAATTCATCTATCTATTTATCTGTTGGACAGTTTTTTCAACTTATGGCTATTACAAATAATGCTCTTATGAACATTCACGTACCAGTCTTCATATAGACATAGACTTTCATTTTCTTTGGGGAAAAAAACCTAGGAGTGGAATGGCTAAATGGTATAGTAGATGAATATTTAACATTTTAAGAAATTTCCAAATGGTTTTCAAGTAATTGTAACATTTTGCATCAACTGCAACCTGTGTATGAGAGTTCTAATAACTCCTTCGAATATCTCTAATACATTTTGGCCAACACTTGGTATGATCAGTCTTTAATTTTAGCCGTTTTAATAGATGTGTGTTTGTATCCTATTGTGGTTTTATTTTGCATTTCCCTAATGACTATATATCTTCTTTGGTGAAATTGCTGTTCAAAACTTTTACCACTTTAAAGCAAAACAAGATTGTTTATTTTCTTATTATTGAATTTTAAGAGTTCTTTATATATTCTGGATGCAAGTCTTTCATCAAATATATGATTAGCAAATATTTTCTCTCAGTCTGTGTCTTGTCTTTTCATTTCTTAACAGTGTCTTTTGGAGAGCATAAATTTTTAATTTTGATGAAGCCCAATTATTATTTTTTTCCCCTCTTAAGGATTATGCTTTTACTGTTGTATCTAGGAAATTTTCCCTTAACCCAAGGTCACAGAAATTTTCTATGTCTGTTTCAGAGAAGATATTTTAGCATTGGAGACCTTAACTGATTCAATTGAATTCTCACAGCTGTGTTATTGCAGGGCCATGAGTAGGAACCATCTGTCCTGGTGCAGCCTCTAAGAAGAGGTCAACTTGACTATGTGTTCTTTTTATACTTCTTTCCAGGTCTAAGTTCATGACACCACCATTTCCTCATTAATATAAGCTTTAACATTTGAAATTACCTTTCACTCATCCTTCTCACCACGTTTTATATATTATTAATTATAAATATTGTTTTTTCTCTTTGGAATGGTGCTCAAAAGACATGAATTTGGGGCGTGTGGGTGGGTCAGTTGGTTAAGTGTCTGCCTTTGGCTCAGGTCATGATCCCAGAGTACATTGGGAAGCCATGTGAAGGCGATTGATCATGGGGCTGAAATGATCTTCTTTTACATGGAAAAAAGAAAGGATTATTGTGTCAGATCTATGCATAGGGCCTGGTAAGGAGACTGATCACGGCTACTGTAGTCTGGAGGAGAGCTAGGAGTGAACTGGAGTGGGGTAGCAAAGTCAAGGGAGAGAGGGAAATAGGTGTGTGATGTATATTTGGAAATGAGACATGTGCTCCGCTAGCCTTGTCCCTTTGCTGTCTTATAAACATGGTTGCTCATTTTCATCCCTATAACTTTTTTTTGACTCTTATAAAAGTTCATTTAACAAAAAAGTTCAATATGAAAATGCACACGACCTGATTTTTACATTGTAGTAAAACAGGTACTATGGAGAGGAGACATGTGGAAGCAGTTGATTTCTTCTGATGAACCCACCCATTGTTCATACTTGTTCCAAGGCTTCTAACATGATGATACTATTTCCTCCTATTACCACCATCCCAATATTGCTCTATGGCCCACTAGTTGCCATCTCCACACATTCATCTATCACAAGATTCACAAACAGATCAAACCCCCACAATATTCCTTGGACATGTCTGCCACCATTTAATTTCAATGATAATTTCTTGTCCATAAATTTTTTCAACTCGGGAGGGTGAGCTTTGCTCATGGTGTCTACTCAGTGAGCTCAAAGATACCTCCTTATAATTTTTTTTTAAAGATTTTATTTTTTATTTATTGAGAGAGAGTGAGCACAAGTGGGGGGAGGGACAGAAGGAGAGGGAGAAGGAGACTCCCCGATGAGCAGGGAGCCCGCCACTTGGTGTGAAATCAAGCCCGCCTGGCTTGATTCCAGGACCCTGAGATCATGACGGGAGCCTAAGGCAGATGCTTAACCATCTGAGCCACTCACGTGCCCCTATCCCTATACCTTTTCTCACTTAACTAAAGTCCCATGTCAAGTCTCTTTTCCTTCATTCAATATTCTCTTGAATAGAAATTCTCTGAACTTCGAAAACAATCCATTCTGCAATGATTTCACTTTTGTCAGTTTTGTCTTGTCACAGATTGTAAGATCCCTGACAGCAACACCCTATTCTTTGTCTCCACAGCACATAACATGATTCTAAGCCCACAATATAGGGATAGTAAATAAGTAATTGATGAATAACGTGGCATCTCATAAAAACCAAGTGATCAAAGAAGAATAGATAAAAACAAATTTTCAAAAATTGACCTAGGAAAGTCATCAGACATCAAACAGGGCCATGCTGAGGAAACTGGTTTACTATAATCCACTACCAGAAACTTGTCACAATGCAGGCGAGACACAAAGCTAGAGTTTTGTAGGATAACTGGATGGAGTTCCTAGGCTCAGTCTTGGGTCATCCTGTTATGCTGTTGCAAGCTGCACGCTTGAGTTGTGGCTGAAGCAACTGAGAGAAGCTGGAGCTTCCACAGTGTTACAGTTCTTTCAATCTGTAGGAAACTCTTTTTTTAAATGTTCAATATTGCTGAGAAAATCCAAGAGGACGTTGTGTGGCTCTGCAGAACACCACATGGTGATGTAAACTAAATCGCTTTAAAGAGGGTCAAGGAAAATTACAATTATTCCAAGACTTAAATCTTGTGAAAGGTAGTTAGAAACAAAAGAATTATGGTGTTGAATAGCTATGTATAGGAAGAGATTTCACACCAAGTACTAAATGTATTTTAACAAATGCCATCCAACCTATTTGATTGTGTAATTTTCTGGAAGAATTACCTAGTACAGGCATGTTTTCTATATGTCTTCATTGATCCATGGACAGGATAAGCCGTAGATAATTAAGGGTGAAATTGTATATGTATCAACTGTAAAAAAATAAGAGAAATAAAAATCCACGGTCTTCAAACTCACCATTAAGACTCCTTTCATCTCATAGCTCACTAGCAAATTGAGTATATAAAGCACCTCTCACACAGAAAGTCAGAGAGCAAAGCACTAAAGCAAAATAAATACCAGTGATTAAGGAAAATTGAAAGCAGCAGTAAAAATATGTTTCTTTAGTCTACTTTTAAATACAGATTGGGAACTGCA